ATAAGAGCAGTCATAATTGCCATTAATTCTGCTCTTGTTGAAGAGGGAAAGGATGTCAATGAACAAGAAAAAGAGTGCTTGACATTTTCATCTTTTAATTGAATCCAGGCACAAGATAATTTAATATCTTGTTGACCAAATTTTGATAAAGATCCATTAGTGTAGAATGTCAATGATTGAGAGGAATGGTTGTTGTTGGCATATGATAATAGGATATTTTTGTATTGGTGAAGAGGTGAATGTGGATTGTCAATAACTATTATTTTTTAAAAAAATTATGATAATTAGTATAGATATAATGGTAATTAATCAAAACAAACAAACAAATATTCTTTATGTAATTACTTTCCTTCAAGCTCATCAAGTTGGTTTGTTTCTGTCTCTAATTTTTCTAATTCTTTTTTCAATACTTCTCTCTCATGTTTGATATCTTTCAACATATCAGTTGCTGCCAATTCTTTATTTTTAATCTATCTACCAAAATAAAAAATTGTTAAATAATTGTTAATTGTGACTATAACAATAACTTAATCATTGTTATTAATATTATAATCATGAACTTTGCCTATAAATAACATATATATGAAATTGCACACACAATTAATTGCTATCAATGGCTTGCCTCTTGAATTTCTTTTTGTAATTTTTCAGTCTCTTCATCACTAATAATACTTCCATTTACTTTCTTTAAAAAATCTTTATAACAATCATGTTATTTTGAAGTATCTGTTAACTGTTCACCCAAACTATCCAATAACATTTCAGATATTCTTGGCACATTGGATGAGACAACTCTGATCTTGAATTCATCAAACCGAAAAGACAATTTGTCACTTTCAATTGATAACTAATACTGGTCCATTGCTGTCTATCATCATTGTTAATAATGCTGTTACTTATATCACCACTATCAGATGATAATCCATTCTCATGTGATAACATTACATAAGATTCTGAGGTGCCCAAGTAAGAATCTTTCTTCTGTTTATTTGAACCTATACTTGCATATCTTGTCATTCTGCATAACTCACTTGCTGTAGACATTGACCTTTTTTTTAGATTGGTAACCATCAACATCATCATTATTATTAAAGTCATTAAAGCTAGTTTTTTTTTAACTTAAAGTCTGTTTTATTCAAGTCTGAAATTTTTGATGTTTCTTCAGGTAATGGTGCTAAATTAAATAATTTGTCAAAGGCAACATTCATGTCCTTTGCATGAGTAATTACTTTAATGTTAAAATAAGATATATTAGAAATACATACATAACAGTATATCTATTGAACCATTGTTAAGGTCTAACAAAGATTCATCAATTTTTATCGCATGTTGATAGTTTGCACAGGTAAAAAAACTAATTGGTCCCATGCATTTAAAAAACTTTTGTGCTAGTTTTGCAATCGATTCAAATTATTATTATCTGATATTTATTTTTCTTTGAAAATAATTTTCACATCAAAAACTTCCACATTTAGCATTCTTTTTTGATGGTGGTGATGAAGTAGATGGGGAGTTACAAATGTGATGATTAATGATAATTAATAAAAATACGAATATAATAATGAAAAATTACGAAAAAAACCAAAAAACAAAGAACAAAAAATAAAAGGGCAATGTCACTTGCTGTCATATGATTGGATGGCGATGGACATGCTGAAAAAGATAAGGCTCATCGCGCATTCTTTAACACTTTACGTAATATTAATAATGATTTGAATGCGTCGTAAGAAATACGTAATGTGGGCCAAAAACTTATAAATAGTAAAAAAGTAAGTATAATAGATAATAAAGTCAGACAGAGGGATGGGCTTTTAGCCAGGTTCTTGTATCTTATTAGCTTCGCCCTGATAAGTGTGGGGAATAATTACCCCTTGCAAGTACTGAATCGGGTGTGTTTACTGGCTTTGTCCTGGTAGACATCATGGGATCTATCAATATAAGTTTTTGACAAAAGATCTACTGTTTCTGGAGAAGGAATTAGTTATGGATCTTGATAAAGTAAATAAATTATGGAAAAAAGCCAACAAAAATAAAAAGGCATCACCATCATCATTGTTATCGTCATCATCTGTAATGGAAGAAAATCGGAATCTATAATTCCAAAGATGAGTTGCTTTTTCCCAATGAAGACGTACCTTTACAAGCCAATAGTTTGGCAACAAATGTTCTTAAAGTGGTGAAGTCTGTTGTGCGAACTTTTGATAAAAATACTATCGCACAAGGGTCTCTCTGCTCTTACAAAAGTTCAAATCATTTACAAGTGGATTCTAAAAGTAATGTATACCGTCCCTAGAGAGTGTGTTTATGATGCAGAGATGTACCGAATCCTGCATAAATGGCTGTAAAGGTATATGGGTTTGAAATCACTGGACAGTGGCACCTAGGACAAGTTTGCAAAGATAGAAATTACCACTACTTTTATTGCGATCTTACAATAAAGAAGAGTGGAGAGCCCCACCCTATAGCCATTTTCAAACTTTTGGCAACAGCATCCACATCAAATTTAGATGAGCATTTTGAACAAGTATTTAAATATGCCAAACAACTTTGCCCTCTGGAAGTTTGGATTGTGCATTTTTCTTGTGAGGATACTGTAGTAACATTTTTTATTCAAAAAGTCATTTTATATGTATTATTAAACTAGTTTTACTATAAAATGTTTTGGCACATCCAGGATATTCACACTTTAAATCATTTATACCAAGATGAATTCTTTTTTGCATGTAATTAAAATCCAATTTTTTGATAAAATGTCTTGATACATTCTGGATATTCACATTTGAAACTTTGTAAGATGATATGATATTTGAATTTGTGCACATTAGTAGTGTGTCTTTAGCAGAATAAGCTTTAGTACATCCTGGATATTCGCACCTGAAATTTTTTATTCCAAGATGACGTCTTGCGTGATCTTGTAGTCCATTGTTTTGATAAAATGCCTTAGTGCATCCAGGATATACACACTTGAAATTTTTTATTCCAGAAGGGCATAATGTATGATGTCATAAATTAGCTTTAAAATAAGATGCTTTAGCGCATCCTGGATATTCACACTTGAAATCTCTTATTACAATATGGAGTTTTGTGTGATTTAGCAAACCACCTTGTTGATAAAATGATTTTGTACATCCTGGATATTCACACTTTAGATTTTTTCACCGTGGATTAAACTGTGTTAAAATCTTGCCATAGCATGGAAATCTGCAAAAAAATTCAACTATGATCATCATCTTCATTACCATCATTTTCATCACCAAGTTCACTACCAAAATTCTCTCCCAATTTCAAGATCATTATTATTATCAACACCTCCATCAATGACCTCATTTTCACTATCATCCTTTTCACCTTCATCATCATTTTTATTTTCATTTCCATTTTGATTCTCTTTATTGTTGTAAATGTTATTGATATTGTATATAACTATGATAATCTTTTGATTTTGCTATTAATATATACAACTAACAATCTATCAATCTATCATCATTATAATAATAATAAAAAATAATAGATCAAATAAAATATGATATGATTAGTCTTATAAAGTATCTTTTTTGGCATCTTGAAACTTTTTAATAATTGGAATCATTAATATTATTTTTTTATTGTCGAATTATATTTTTAATCTTCTTAGATAATAATATGATTGGATTAATTATAGCAGATAATTATACGATATTAAAAAATTGGAAATGAAATAAATTAATAAAGGGATTTATTTATTAAAAATAAATCATTTTAAATAATAATATCTTGCTCTATAACGGACTGATAATTTAAGCCCAGTTTATAGATTTATATATCCCATATATAATAATAATGAATCATTACTGTCTATAACGGAGATTTTTTCGTAATAGTAAGCCAAAATGGTCCGTTATAGAGAGTGTGAAATGCACATTTGAATATTACACCATAACTAGGGGTGTTAATTCGCCTCGGTCGAGCATAATTGAATTGAGTTTAAGTATAAATTTGATTTAGTATTTTTAATATCCGCTCGAAACGCGCTTCAAAAACATGCTTTCAGTTATATTTTATAAATTACGCCATAATAGTTTGATTTATTATTATTACCAAAGTATGTTTGAAGCATGTGCCCAAGAAAATTGTTTATACAATTTCTATTAATTCAATATAACGATAATGATTTTCGTCTTTAATAAATTATAACATGACCAAAGAACAAATTGAATATAATACCAATATAATTTTTTTCTAACGATAATTATACCAACATTACAACCACAGTATTACATTAAATGAAAATATGTTGAAAGTTATGCTTGAACCATTTGATGATTCGAATGAAATATCATCATCGCTACTTTTTTTTTTAAACTAAAAAAAAAAGGATGCCTGAGTCTCATTTAGGCAATTTCTATGGGTTCATGCACAAATGAAGGAGGATATTATCATTATTCTTATAGTGCTGTTAGAGAGTAATTGCAAGATAATAAATGTCTAGATTAATAACAATAATAATGTCATTCATTGATTATTAACAGACGTGATAGAATAGTTCCTGTAGATATTTATGTTCCGGGATGCCCACCAACAGCAGAAGTTTTACTATACGGTGTATAAAAAAAGATGAGAGGATCTAGAGTTTGTCATTGACAAATACGAGAAATAAACTTGTATGTAACCTATGATTTGCAACAAACATTGCAAATACATCAATCACATTTTATTCCAAGATAACGTTTTGCATGTTTTTGTAAATGACTTTTACAATAAAAGAAAATCAACGCCCTTTAATTCATCTAAACAATTCATCTCTTTCATCTAATAGATAATGCAAGGAAACTAAGCAGAAGCATGTAATACTGCATGTACATAATCATCATAATAATACTCATTGTCTCATTTTTCCTACAATCAATGATTTGAGAATGAATGCATTTCAAAAGAGAGATAGACTACAATACAAAAAACATTTATTATTGTTTCTTTAATTTCATTATAACCCTCGATATGGCTTTTTTCAAAACGACAAATCTCAGAATCAATATTAATATGACCTTATTGGAACAAAAAGAATACTTATTTAAAGACGTGGTTTTCTTTCATTTTAAAATTACCTCATAAAAATGAGTAAGTTTCCAATGGTCACAGAGTCATTCATTACATTGAGATTCAAAAAAATTTGTCCCGATAGCGATATCTGCTACTAATTAAATTTGTTTCTAATAACTAACTTTTATTTATTATTTTTTTATTCAAGGTCTCTGTAATAACGACTTAGGAGCATATAGATGCAGGAAGTCATCAGATTGTGAATCTTGTAACAAATGCAATTCTCATTGCCTATGCATTCGTCGTGGTAAATAAATTTTTTTTTGTTTTTTCTTATTATCTGACCGGGAAAACTATTTCTTTGAATCTCAATGTCAAATCTCAAATTGACTCTGTGACCTAAAAATAAAAATTGAACGTACTTATCACATAATAATAAAAATACAAACACTTATCTCAACATGGATCTTTCTATAAACCCTTGTTGTCATGTGTGACTCCATTCCATTCTGGTGTTTTGTTCAAGGAGCGGTTAGTGACTTTGACATTTTATTCCTCTTTTATTTTTTAATTTCTTCCATGCATAATAGGCATTTATCGTTCACCCAGAGAAAATAAACTAACCTAATTTTGCTCTCTCAGTTCCAATTATGATCATGATATGCATGATGAAATGCTTATTCGCTTAATTGTTTTACTCTACAACAAAGATATAAGCATAGAAATATTGTTACCCAAAGCAAAGTTGACCAATAATACGATCAATATGCCAGGTCAAACAATTAAGCTGGCAATCTTTGGAGTTTGAATTCACTTATTGCCCGATACCACAAACCAATGAAAATACCTCAAGAACGCTTGAGCGTGCACACAAATGTACAGTATGGAACAGCGAGGAGCCAATTACGTGAATATACGAAGATCGCATCCGTCTACACAAACTTTCCCAGTTAAATTGGAAATTATTAATTGATTCGATGTCATATGATATTATATCAATATGGAATAGCAATAAAATTCACAAATACAAGAATGGCAATAATTATTCTAAAGAGCCAGACACAACAACCACTTTCTTCCCTTTTGGGAATTTTCCTTGTTTGACAACATCAAATAAGATGTGGTGGTGATTGTGAAATATCCGTAATTTGATCGATTTGGATGAGCTCAATATTGATATTTAGTATCTTTATTTTGTTGAAATGAGATTTTATTTATCTTATGTAGTTTGAAATTTGGCTTCTCCGAATTATAAATTTTTTTTGATTATTAATTAAAAAAATGAAATTGAATTTATTAAGTTTGTGATTGAAATTAAATCTTCATGTGCACTTAAGTCATTAAGCATACCTTCCTTTTTTTACAAATTAAATTGTGATTTGTTTTTCCACTCGTTACCATGTTTAAGATTACCCATTCCAAACGGTTCAAATTTCCACCTAAGATACACTACTGCCTGGAAGAAAGTATCGGAACCTCATTTTTATTAATTACGCAAAAACCTACGTGATTAACTACGTGTATAAAAAAATTTATATCATCATGTAGCTTAGGTTTTGGAGAATTTTTATATAAAATCCCACGCTTTTATCATTCATAATATTTTTTTTTTGTGATTTTAAAAAAAAAACTTCAATCAAATTCGCGATTTTCATTTTTGGATATTTTTTGAATTTGTATTTTCGCAAAATTTTACATTAAAAAAAAACTAGTACTGTTATTTTGTAGTTCAAGTTCTAACGAATGATTGGTCAAAATTTTTATGTCTTTTCTATTAGTAAAGAGTTTGTTACTAAAAATAATCAAACAGTGATTAAAAATTTGATTAAGAAATTTGTTGCCTTTTAATAAGAACAAAATTTGGTGGTAGAGCATACAAATTTCAGGATGACAATGCACCAGTGCATACTGCAAAAAATGCGTAAAGTTGGATAAGCAATAACAACATAAACATTTTGTCTAATTGGCTATCGCAATCTCCTGATCTCGATCCAATTGAGCATACTTGGTATGAGTTGGAAAGAAGATTAAAATAACGTGAAAATTATCCCAAAAATGCTCAAGAATTGGAGATTGCCTTGCAAGAGGAATGAATGGTCTGACATTACTGAAGAAGTTTATAACGAATTAATCGAAAGCATGCCAAAAAGAATCAAGGCATGCATATCCAATAATGGATAGCCAACAAAATACTAACTTTTGTTTCTATTTTTTAAAATTTGATGATTGTCATGAAGTTTGTTTTTTTTTTTTAACCAAAAAATAAATATGAATGATAGAAGCGTGGGATTTTATATAAATATTCTTCAAGACCTAAGCTACATGATTATATGAATTTTATTTATAATTATCATCTAGGTTTTTGTGTAACTAATAAAAAATGAGGTTCCGATACTTTCTTCCAGGCAGTGTATAAAAATGAAATTCGATTAAATTTTGACAATCAAAAATTTTTGACATGATGCTTTTAGAAATTTTCCAAGGACCTACATTGTAATATGTTTTGGAAATTTTGTATATGAAAACCCAAGTTTTGCTGATTCTGAAAAAATATTTTCAAAATTTTAAATTTCAAAAAAAAAAAACTGAAGCTCAACGTGGACAAATAGTTGGCCTTTATAAAAATGGAGCTTCATATAGAAGTATTTCTAAATAATTGGTTTTCCCACCACAACAGTATGAAGAATTTTCAAGAAAGAGATAGTATGGCAGATTTACCAAGAAGTGGATGCCCAAAAATTTTAAATACTGACCATCGACAATCATTAAAAAATATTGTTAAACATAACAAACATAAATCAGCTGAACAGATAAAGAACTATTTTAATCAAGAAACTGGTTTACATGTTTCTACAAAAACTATTAAAAGAAGTTTACACGAAATCAACATATTTTCTGATGTTCCTGCTTCTAAACCTTTGATTAATGAGCAACAAAGAATAAAACGTTTGAATTCCCTACAGAAAGTTTAGATACTTATTTCCTACTTATTTTTACAAAACATACTTAAATCAAAAAAGATGATTTACTAATTATTTACAAAATATGTATGAATATGCTTATTTTACAATTAAACATTCTTATTTTTTTACAGTAATAGGAATGTAGATATCCTAATTATACACTTAAAATATACCTATTTTCTTGATTTTGTAATTTACTTTATATATACTTAAAACATACTTGAATTTAATAAAATTATTCTTTTTGCATCTAAAGAATTGACCAATCAATCCAATTTCACTTCTGACTGATAAATGAATGTTGTTGAATAAATAACTAATGATTTATTTGATTAATTACACGACAAGAGTATTAGCATCAAACAAGCTGATGAAGACCAGGGTGGAAATTTTTATTATAAAATTTCAAGAATGTCCGATAAAAAATTTTGGAAATAGGCCATGTTGCACATTTTTAATATTAATATTAATACAAATTCTGAATTGTTTGTTTAGCTTTATTTGAATTGTCCATTTTATTTGTTTTATTCATTTTATTCGCTTTTATTCGTTTTATTCGTTTTATTCGAATTATTCGATTTTATTCATTTTATTCGGTTTCATTCGTTTCATTCGTTTCATTCATTTCATTCATTTCATTTGTTTCATTTGTTTCATTCATTTCATTCGTTTCATTCGTTTCATTCGTTTCATTCGTTTCATTCGTTTTATTTGTTTCATTCGTTTTCCGATTCTTCCTTGCCTCCTTGGATCAATTAATTTTCTGTCCAGAATGTATTGATTTACACCCCAGAACATACTTTTTTGGTCCAAAGTCAGAATAATACCATTTTCAGACCACACCTTGGACCAAAATTCACCAAACTTTTACATGGCTGCCACCTACCCCTTATGGCATACCTATTCTCCGTACATAGTCGAATATAAATACTCCCTCGTTTAGGTAATTCTAACAAGCCCAAAATCATCAAAAACCAGACAACTTGGTAAAGAGTTATTACATCCCAAAATTTTGGCCTCAAATTTACTTGCATTATATGGTCACGTGATACTGTGAACTCAGTTCATGTCATTTCTTAATATTAATGCATGGCAGGGTTGGCAAATTGACTGGTCCATTGAGAACAGATGGATTTTGGACTGGTCCATTGCCATTAATAAAATACTAAATATGGTTAAATTGTTACACTAATGGACCCAATAGACCACCAATAGACCACCAATAGACCACCAATGGACAACACATTTGCCAACCCTGATGCATGGAATGCACTTTTTCCGAAAAACAATCGGGATATGACCAGAATTCGCAATTAAGCATACCTATACTATAGATATGAACTTGCCTGAGGTATAGGTAATAACAAAAAAATGTGCGTATTTGACACATCTACCAAATAGTGATGTTTAATCATTTAAAAATCCTTGTAATTTTATTTCCATGACCAGAAGGTAACCAAATTTAGAAATTATATATGCAGATTATTAGCCGGCTAATGTCACTACCAAAGAATACAGTGATTTGCACCTTAGATCTCTTCTTGATTCAACTAAAACTCCTCAAGATTTGCAACCTGCTAAAGCACATTTAGTGAGCTAATTTGCTTGTGCCAATGTAGTAATATATAAATGGATGCCAAGAAGTCAAACTGTTAAGCATTATCATAAAAAAGATGCTTGCAAATCCCTTATTTCCAAGTGGCATTAAAAAGTTGTATAATGAGGGTAGAGTGATATATGAATTTAGTATTCTATCATGGCTTACAAAAAAGACTTCATTCTTTGCCCTTGAAGTTAGCACTCGTGCCTATCAAGATCTGTATGGTAGGTATTATATTAATATTAATCAATTTCCGGAATATCTCTATCCTAATCCATCCCATTCTAAAATTCGGGAAAGCTATTTCTTAACCACACAAGAGAATTTCTCTGTTCTTATGATAAAAGCAAGAGTTATATATGAGGGTACTAATTTCATGTACCAAAAAATGAAAAATCGATGTTTCTATATTCACACACCCAGGAACTGATAAAGCAATACTTACATGGTTCCTCCATGAATGATTCTTGGTCCTAAAATTACTCACAAAACTGCTAATGAAAGGACTATTACTGGGCAATTCAACAAAGGATTGGAAGGTAAAGTTTTACATATTTTCGAAGAAATGTATTTGCTTTTTACAAAGAACCAAACCCAGTTTAAAGTAATTTATTCTAAAAATTTTAAATTTAACTGAAAAAAACAAGTGGAAAACTCTAGAAAATATTTATTATTATATATTGATCTTTTTCCTAATAACTGCTTCATCTTCATTTCCAGGTATCAGCATTTTTCGTTTTTCACATTTCAATTGATATGGATGGTGCATTTTTCAACACCACACCTTGGGAATGAATTCTACACAAATGTTCATAGGGAAATAAGCTCAGACAAGAAAAGTGTTTATTTAGATTTATATAATATAACAATAATAAACAATAAATAAAATTTCAATTTTTATCTTATTTTTACTAGGAATGGAATAGTACATTCTGAACTTGGTGTTATTTTGACTAAAGTCGATGGATTTAGTTTTATTAATTCTTGATCTTTTAGAGCCTTTCTAATATTGAATGGTGAAAAAGTATTCCATGTACCAAAATTGGGTAAAGAAGTTTTGCCAAATATTGTATGGTGGTGGTTTTGATTCTTATTTGAAAACACCATATAATAATAAGCATTAATGAAAAACCGCAATAGTCTTTACCTATTACTATATATTTTTGTTTCTTGCTAAATACTTGATTGAATTGAATGATCTTAGGATTCTATTGTGCATCATATTCAAAAAATTATTTATAGCTAATATGCACTAATGTTATTTAATATTGATTTTAAATCTTTTAAATTGCGATTCGTTGACGCTTTTTAAATGTTTCTCTTCCCATTTTAGACAATCGTTATGTTATTGTTGCTTGCTCATATTATCTAATTATTTTAATCGTTATTATTTATCTAGGAATAAAATGTAAAAAAAAAACTTAATATCTATTTATTTATTATATTTATTTCGATTTTACTATAAAAGACATGCCTAAGTGAACAAAACTGTGTAAATAATAATATTGGACATTTATTTCTACTTATACTTGCAATTGTGCGCTTCTACATATATAAATATAAATGCAAATTTGGGGGTCAGTTTATTTACAATTTTATTAGCAACCTGCCTTAAAATTTTTCTTAAAGATACTGTATAAATTTGGTGGTTGTCACACAGCAAGAGTATCAAACGAGATGTGAAGACATTCATTCATTCCCTATTGTGACATATCCTGTAACTAGTAGAGTTTAACGTCAGTGATATGGTTTTATATTTGGTTTAATAAAAAAAAAAAGCAATGGTTTAATTTTTAATTTTTGTTATGCGTAAATCATTTTTGTTTAAGTTTTTGTAAATGGGCTTAATTGTTCAAGTGTAGATGTAAGATGCTAAGACTGATTGCAAAAGTGTTAACAGTTATTACTGATTAACTACTTAAACAAGGAGCTAACAGTTATTGACATTACATATTGTGTCAAAGTAATTGTTGTAAATGCGCAACTAACTTAAAGACAAAGTAAATAAAATAGAGCATTTTGTTGCACCATCTTTGTTAATAATAATTCAATAAATATATTTCATATTACAACTGTGGTGGTATAATAATAAAATCTACTATCCCTTAAAGGAAATTTACACCAAATTTGGCATAGATTTACAATTACAATTTTTTCAGTTCAGTATGACTCTGAGTGTGGTGTGTATATACTATTTAAAAATGATTTCAAATAGTATCTCTATATTAATATGTAAATAAATGTAATTTTTGGTATTTTATTCATGTACAGTAGTACAAACTCCACTAATTACGTTATTTGGTATTGTATGATTTTTTAAATGTTGCCTGATCCAAAATTTCAAATGGTATGATTTAAAAAATACTATTATAGTGAATCATAAAGACCAACATAGGAAATCATTCTCCTGAACATAGAGAAAATAGGATTGTGAGTATTGTAAATATCAAAGGCAGGAAGAAGGAATAAATGCTACAACTAATGATAATTGTTCACATGTATTTTGTACTCTATGTGATGCTGCTTTATGTTTAAGCTCAAAAAGAAATTGTTTTCTAGAATATTACAGTAATAATAATTAATTTTGTAATATTTAAAGGATTTTGTCCAAATTTGGAAAAAATTTTTAGTACAAATTAAAGTAAATATTTGTATTCTAAATTGTTTTTTCTCCCTAAGTAACCTTGTTTATTAGAACAAGTATCTTCGTGGTTTTAGACCAGATAACAACTTTTTCTAATCATGAATTTCAAAAAAAAAAAAAAATCTTTGGATTTTTTTTTGAATACATGTTTTTGTGCATTGTTTATTTTCTGAAGAAAAAATAATTAATTATAAATGAATGATGATATGTATAAAAAATGCCTTTTTCTATTTAAAAATAAAAAAAAAATGGTGTCAAATAGTAATTTTTCCGCTTGGCAGGGACCTGCACTAACTCAAAAATCTACACCAAATTTGGCATAAATTTCATTTTCTTTAAGGGATACATCATTCTGAAAGATTTTGTCTATTGCTATCTAATATTGTTATATGTTGAGAAACTTCTTTCTAAACTGCAACTAGATATGGGCAACCATATGTATTCCAGAGCAACTTCAGAAAGAATTGGCAATTGATCTTGAATATTTATCCAATATTCATTTAAATCTATTTCATCAATTAAATCATCCATTTACATTCAACAATAAATTGCCCATTCATTTAGTAATTCATCAGAAGGATTTTCTAATCCTTTGATTGATCTATATTGACATAAGTTTTTTCTTTACAAAAGACCAAGTAAAATAAAAAGGGGACAAGCAGTACGTGAAGGAATATGTGCATTAAATTTGTTAAGAGTAGCTTCAAAAGCTACATGAAAATTAGGGTAAAAATCACTTGGATTAAAATTATGAGAAATTATAGTTAAATCAATTTCGGATCCAAAATCAGAAAAATTACAATATTACAATTGCTTTGTAAAAAAGCATTTAAATGATAAAGATGTCTCTCTATGAATGGAAAAAATTTTTTAACTGAAATGTTATAAAAATAGTAAGATATTCACCTTGTGTGACAGTCTGTTACAAAAATAGAAAAATAGCCAGCACCTAACCATTTTTAGATATAATTCTTCACATTTCTGCTTTTGATACATACTTCTGTGATTTCTGCGGTTTTCTGCTTAAAGCAGAAAAATCATCATCCTTGCTATTAACATAGTGTGTATTGGATTTTATGAGATGATTAGCAATAGTTGCACCACATACTAATGTGTTTATATACAAACTGGCCCATCATCTGACTTTAACTCAATTGTATGCCACTGCAAGCATGCAATCCGAGTTTCCTAATTAATAAGTTATTTAAAGCTCAACACACAGCCTACCCACTGACTTATGGTTGATTCTATTGTTTGACACACAGCCTACCTGCTGGCTTACAGTCAAGTTTCCTTTATTTATATATATATATGACTCACAGCCTACCTGCTAACTTATGGTCATTACCTTTATGTGACGCACAGCCTACCTGCAGACTTATGGTCACTAAGTTCTATTTAAATAATTACATCCCAAAGGCGTCCCCTTGAGATGTATCTGAATAATTAAAAGGGTTCCCAACTAATAATTAAAGGTTGGCCAGACC